GAACTGCAGGACATGTTTTGCAATGGAAATTCAGGCTTGCTGTAGACCTGAAATTGTTGAATTCCTGCATGCAAATAAAGGAAAAACAAATTCCATTCCAAATCTTTTGCAAACACCTTTGGCCATAAATGAAATCTTTATACATGCCTTAGCATGGTAAATTGCTCCTTAGATAAACTTGAAATGCCAAGACCTGTTCAGCATGAAGTTTGGGGGCCAAATAGCAGGAAAACTGACCTCTCTGTCACCACGTTCTGGCTAGCAGGGTTTCACAACCTGGTGGTGTGACTCTTGTAAGAAATACAGCTGGGCAAAAGAGTAGAAAGTCCAGGAGCTGTCATATCGTAGTACAGTCGTGGGCTGTAGCAGGACTCTTTATTGGCTGTACTAAAGAAAACCTCTTGAAAGAGTTTGTTAATTATAATGATTTTATATAGACCAATTGACATGGTAGTGTCTTGGCCCTCCCAGAAGAAAGCTGTATTATGCTTTTTTTTTTTTATTTTTATGAAACTACGTAAATACTCAGTGGTCCTTAGTTTGGAGCTCTAAATCATAGACTTATAGAAAATTCAGGTTGGAAGGCAGCTCAGGAGGTCACATCTAGTTCAACCCGCTGCTCCAAGCAGCACCAGACCCAACTCCATCATCCCAGCCAAGGCTTTGTCTACCTGGGTCTGAAACCCCCCTAAGGATGGAGATGCCACCACCTCTCTGGGGATCCTGTTCCAGTGCTTCCCCACCCTCCTAGTGAGAGGTATTTCAGACATCCAACCTCAACTTCCCTTGCTGCAGCTTGAGCCCATTGCTCCTTGTTCTGTATCTGCCCCTGCTGAGACCAGTCCAGCTCCATCCTCTTTGGACCCCCCCTGCAGGGAGCTGAAGGCTGCTATTCAACCCCCCCTCGGTCTTCTCTGAAAGGGCCCAGGCTCCGTTTTAGAGTTTCCTGATGTTGCACGGCCCAGAAATCACTTTTCCAACAAAAAAACATGTCAGCGGGTCACGGCTCTAAGAATCCCTGCTCTGTGCCAGCTCTGCACAAGGTTGTTTGTATGTTGTACTTGGCACCAGCACAACAAAAATAGGCTCGTGTTATTGCAAAGCGATGATAAATCATGGAGTTGATCAGAGGGTTGAGTCCATATTTGTTGTATCACTCCCCAAAAACATTAGCAAACAGCTTTCTGTTTACAGAACCTTATTTTGAAACCCTACATGTGTTCTGGTACCACAGACCTTTCCGTTCCCATCTGTAGGCAGAGATCACAGTAAATGGTGTGTCTCTCTTAGGAAAAACAGACTAGCAAACTTGGCTCTCTAGCAACGATTTCTTTTTTAAATATTTGTCTGAACTACAAAGCGTGAGCTGCTCCTCACAACAATAAATTAATCAACATCTGACTTTATGAAATAATCAAAGTAACAAATGTTCACTTGAGATTGTTCTCGGCCCTGTTTAATGTTTCTCCATTTAGTTGGATCAGCAATAGATGTTTGCAAGTTGACACTGCCCAGAAACGTTCCAGCGTTAGCTTGCGTGTGGTTGGGGATTGAGCAAGAAATTGTAGTGAAAAGGGGTGGGCGGGTCAGGGGGAGAGACGTGTCTCGGGGACTGGCTGCCAGGGACCCAAAGAAACTGCGATTGAAAGGATCCTCTCATTATTGCAGTGCAAGGTTAAGACCAAAAAGTATGCATGCATTTGCTAGAATATGATATCCCCTTGCTAGGGTCATGCTTTTGAGCTTGGCATGTTCCCATGCTTAGTGCTGTTCCTATGGCCCATGTGGCTGTGACATGTCTTTTGGAAATGAAGGATGGAAATTTGGGCGGCATTTGAGTTCCCCAGATCTGTGCAAGCAGTGTCTGCTTGAGATGATGTGTCTGGAAGAGCCACCCTAATTGCAGTGGAGCAGGTGACTGCTTTAGGAGGAAGGATGAATATCCTCCTGGCAAGAAGCAGCCCATACCTGATGCCTAGATCTTGCCCTCTCAGGATTATTGCAGTGGCAGGCAGTATGTGGGCACGGGGGCTTTTGCCAGGTCTCTTCCCTCACTGCCCTCACCTGCCCTGGAGTGTTTCCTGCCTTAGTTAATGCTCATCTGGTGGCACTGCTTCTGTGATGTATGATGAGACATAATTGAGAGATCGACTCCAATGTGCGTTTCCTGTGAAATGAATGTCCATCACACATGGCATACTTGGTAATGGGACTCGGAGACCTCAGGAAGTCTGAAAAGTTTGCATCTTTTATTTCACGTCAAGTCTTTCTGGAAACCTCCTCAAAGTAGACTGATTTGCAAAACGTTTAGTAGCTCTTGGTATTCGCAGAAGTTCCTGGAGGAAGGCAGGTTTGAATGGGTGCTTTTTTAAATAAACCAGTTAAGGAAAATCTGGGTAGAGTGTTTTAAATCTAAGTGATTTAAAGGAGTGATTTTTTTTTTTTTTTTTTAAATCTTCATTTAAAACTTTGATTTAAACAATCTACTTCACATTTGTACTTTTCAGTTTCCTTAAAAGAAGGTTGATCCGTATGGGCTGGTAACCATAAGAACATGTTGATTTTGCAACAAAATATAGCTGTTAAATTAAATTTGGTACTTTGTTCAGCCAACCAGGAGAACACATGGTATCTAAGCACATTTTAGGCAGTTGTATAACTTAGCTTATAGGTGTAGAGTTTCTTAAAGTTTTGCACTTTTTTCGATCTTGGCAAATTGCAAGTGACACATTTACTAGAGGATGATTAATTTTTTACTTGTGATTTTGTGTCAAGCTGCATTTGGATGGAAATTGGAATTTGATTAAAAATGCACTAAACATTATTTTAAAATTCGTCATTAAATAAAACTACCTTTTAAATATGCTGGATACATGCGGGGTGGGGGAAGGGGGAACAAATGTATTACAAGGTAGTTTGCATTTAAATCCGATTTATTTTACCAAGGAGAAGCATTTCTTGTGGTTAATGAATTGAGCTGGTGTTTTGTTTTGTTTTTTTCCTGGGCCTACATCCTTTAAGATTTTAGAGCGGGTAGAGCTGTTCTTTGTTGCGTCACTTGAGCTGTATTCTGGAGAGAGAACAAGTTTTTCTGCCTTTTTAACTCCCACCTGGTTTCTTAACTTTGATTGAACTAGTCAATGAGCAGCTGAGTTAGATGAATCCTGAAATGAAGGCAATGTTTTCCTTGCATTTGCAGAAGAGGCTTCTGCCAGGGCTGGGCTGGCCCTTGCAGCACACCTTGGTTGCATGTGCTTACTTAGCTGGGGACTTCCAGCGGCCTGGCTCCCTGTGACACTTCGACAGCAAATGCACGCTCCTGAATTTTTGCATTGAGCGTAAATCATATCAGTAGAGTCTGGGAGGCTTGCGCCATGGAGATAGCCTGTCATCATTTTAGATTTCCTTTTAAATGGATTTATTTTAAACAGATCATGTGGGCGTTATCTGCTGTTAATTTTATTTTAATCCTGTTTTATTTTTATTTTAAACACTCGTGGCTTTGTAGCCATCCTGCAAACCCAGCGTGTAACTTTTCCCCTAATGTTTTCCAAACTGGAGCAGAATCTGTCTGAATATAACCCAACTGCTGGAAAATCAAACCAGGCCTTTAAGTGCCAGGCACCTTTGCAGGCTGTGGGGAACAGGTTTGGAGGGGCTTCTCCCTCCCCAGGCCTGGTGGCTCGCTTGTCCAGGTTGCTTGTCTCTGAGGCAGAGGGCAGCAAAGGAGCGATGTCCCTGGGCAGCCCGAGTCGTGGGTTCGGCCTGGCATGGGAGCACTTGGGCTGAGCTTCCCCGGTGCTGCTAGCTGGGAGCAGTCCCGTTCCCCCCTCCCGTCCCTCCGGCTGTCTAGCTTTGTCTGCGTTCCTCCGATTTGCGTTCCCACGGCGTTAATGAGAAAATTCAAGGTTAACGTGTAGGTTTCATGAAATATTCAGAGGGCCGCGGTGCTAACGTTTTAAATAAACTCCCCTTCCCTCCCCACCTTGCAAACGGGTGGAAGGACTGATCAGTCTCTCTTCTCTCCTAGGAAGCTTCACAGTGGCATGAAGACTTATGGATGCGAGTTGTGCGGGAAACGGTTCTTGGACAGCTTGCGACTCCGAATGCACTTACTGGCTCACTCAGGTAGGTTTGGAAATGTGGATGCTCTGGGCAGTGAATGCTGCCTCCTCTGTCCGATCCGCCCGGTGCCCCAAACCTCTCGAAACTCCCAGCGAAGCAAAGAGTGCAAAGGGAGGCGGAGGAGTGCGCGTGCCCCATGCATGCATGTGTGGGGATGGATGACTTCTCCGAGTGACAAATTGCAAATGCTTCTTCCAAGGACAGCTATTTGAATGTTCAGAATTTGTTTCCAACTCTTCAGCTGGGGAAATATTCACCCGGGGAAGCAGCATGGAGGGACAGACTCTAAATCTCTCCTGCTCAGTTTGTGCCGTGGATGGACATTCAAGTGGGGGTTTATCCCTTCCCTTCCACCTTTTGTAGGTGTCATTTTTGCCTCTATCTCCCGAATACTGTATGTTCCACGTACAAGCACTCACTGCAATTTCATTAGCAAAGCCATTGCAGAATTAGGCGCTCTCTGTCTAATGAATCTAACTATTGGGTTCAAATTATGCAGGCCCCTTAATTAAATAGATATAGAGAGGTTGGAATGCTAAGCTAGTGAGAAGACTTTGTGTTTTGCAAGTTAATTTAGTCTGAAATACCTATTGGTTCTGCAGCCCCACATGCAATTAGCTTTTGTATTTAAAAAAAAAAACCAAACAAAACAACCCAGCAGCCCTTGGACCCGATTGCACAGATGTAGGCAGGAATCCGTGTCCCGTTCCCTGAAGGGCAAATCACTTAGGGTCCAAATGAGGGAGCAAGCATGGGCTCTCCAGGCTGGGCGTGCATCGTATTTCTGCAAGGAGGCTCGTGCCAGCGGATATCTCTGTAGTACCGTCTGTCAGAGAGAGTCCTGGGGGGGATCTGACGGTCCTGAGTTCTGATCCTGCCTCTTCTATCTGCACCCTGGGGGTGTCTTAACTGGGAGTCTCACTTTTCCCTGTGCATAGGATGGGAATAGCTAATGCTGACCCACCAATTTCAGCAAGGCTGTTGTGAGAATTAGTATGTGGTCAGTGCGGGGAGAACACACAGCGCTTTGCAAATGCTCAGTGTTAAACCAGCAAGCGGAGCAAGGCCTGTGGAGTGGAGACGGGAAGGTTTTTGTGCTCAGGGCCGTGCTGCCATTACCCTTGCTCTGGAAACACCTTCCATGCTGCTTGGGGCTCCCTGGAGGAACCGGAGGCCCCCAGGCTGCGATGAGCCTCGCACAGCTGAGCACAAATCACGGCCTCTCCCCTGGCAATGGCAGCAGCAAAGGGGCTCTGATGGTCCTGATGGGCAGGGAGCAATGAGCCCGTCTGACACCGCATCTCAGGGAAGAGACCGTGCATGGCAGAAAGGGTTGCTGGGCTAACCTCAGACATGGGGAGAAGTCGCCAGCACAGCCATGCCGCGCAGGCAATGCAGCCAGTTTTCACATGCTCTCAAATTGTCCCTGGAGGGAAATGAGCACGTGTTCCCTCTCCCTCTGTGTCATGATGCACCTGTATTATTTTCCCCTGCAATGTTTGCTTGGACCTGGGTATTGGCTGCTGGAGTCTGTCGTCTCTATGCATGGGGGGGTGCGGATTTGGCGGGAGGAGAGGGCTCGGGAGAGTTTTGGGAGGGAAGCAGCGAGCTGTGGCTTTCAAAGAGATGGTTTCAAAGCTGGCAAAGGCCACCAGTGAAATCAGTGTGTGGTGGTCTCCAAACAGCCTCTGGAAATGCTTCTCTGCTGCAGCCGCGATGCAGGAGTCTGGTGGCATCGGCAGTCGTGGCTCTGGGGAGGTTTGCCATTGCTATGGGAGGGATGCGCAGCAGCAGGACGGGGTGGTCTGGCTTGCACCGTGCCAGAGAGCGCCATGCTTGGCTTTGTCCGCTGCCCTTGGCAGGGCAAGGGAGGGCGGCTGGCAGCTGCGGCTGATGTGCTGCTTAACCTACAGATGGTACCGAAGGGAAGGGGGCTGAGTCCTGGCAATGCCAGAGCCACTGATGGTTTGGATCAGGGCCTCTGTTTTATCCAGAGCACCCTGGTTGGGAGGACTGGGTCGAACTTCACACGCAGCTGAGAGCACCCAGTGGGATGGGCTTTGCAGAGAGGTTTGGGGCCACTGTTTTCTGTAAAAAGAGCAAATAACTCATGAAACAGCGGGCCCATTGGATTCCTGCTTCCCAAGCCCGACCCGGGCCTGCGGGCTCCTGCCAACGCGGCTAGCACGCAGCCTCTCCTAAGGGCCTGCAGCATTGCACCTGTGGCTTTGCATGCAGGCACGCGCGTTGTCGCCCATTGGGGACGACTTCTGACCAGCATCCCAGTCGCAAGCCCAAAAGGAGCCGGGGGCATTTTGCATTGGTCAGCATGGACCTGGAACAGCCCACCCCGCCCAGGCCAAAGGGTCGGCAGTGATGTGCCGCATGCATCGCTCCTGTCCTTGGGGGCGCTCAGCAATGCATGGCACCGTGGCAGGCTGCGTGCGCTGCACTCGGCCTCTCAGCTGTGTTTCCCCTTCCCCCTCCCTCTCTTTTTTGGCTTGCGCTGCCTGTTTGTTATTGTAGTTTGGGCCCCGTGCCAGCACCTGGCTTGCGGCCAGCTTTGCGGGTACAGTATGTACAGTGAACGTTGAGCCAAGTTTGTCATCATGCAAGATTAATTTTTTTTTTTTCTAATCTGGCGAGGGGGTGGGGCGGGAGGGGGCTAGGAAAGAGCTGCTCTCATGCTTGAAAACAGCTGCATTAAATTCCAGCGCTGTTATTTATTAAAGCAGGAGACCTTTGCACCTTTTCCTCCCCGGCCCACGGTGCAGCCAGCCCATCCGGGATCAGCACCGCGAGGTCATCTTCCCAGCCACTTGCATGCTAAAATGATGCTCCTAAATCAGTTTTCATTGCCTCTAAATTGATAATTTGTTTAATTAGAAGCTTGCCCTGTAGGAAGCCCTTCCAGTGTGATGCCTGGGCTTATTTTATTTTATTTTTTTCCCCCCTTCCTCTTCTCCCTTTAAGGCCTTAAATGCTGGTGGCAGTAAATGTTCAGTTTAATTGAAGTTTTCATTTCAGTTTGAATGTGTTTAACTAATCAAGTGTTTATGAGCGATACCTGATGATAAAGATGAGTTTAAATTAACAAACAGTAAACTCGCAAATTAGCTAATGAGATGGATCTGGCCAGTCCCAGCTCAGCGGCTCCTATGGAGGTCATTGCTCTGCATGGAGATCCATGAGCGGGGGTGGGCAGGAGTGGGACGACAATTAAATCGGTGCTGGTTTTACAACGTGAAGTTTGGTGCAAGAACCAAAGCTGGCTCCTCTGGCAGCACCTGTTGTCACATCTTGTGGTGCATGGGAAGGAACCTTTTTTGGGGAGAGAGTGGAGTGCAAGCCAATATTGGGGGAAGCAAAAAAAAAAAAAAAAAAAAA